GGGGCTTTGGGGGCAGTGAGAGGCACCAGCAGGGATGGGGGAGGCATTGGGGGGGGTGAGGGGCACCAGCAGGGTTGGGGGTGCTGTAGGGAGCTTTTAATTTTCATAATGGATTTGGGGGTTTTGTCAGAGAATTTGAGATTTTTCATCAGAGAATTTGTAATTTTTGTATCAGAGAAAACCAGGATCCCTGGTGATCAGAGCATTCAGTTCAGAGAGTAGAGGACCAGGGAAAACCCTACAGCCACAGAGCATTCAGTTCAGAGGTGGAGGACCAGGAGAAGAAGCCTAATTCTGGAGAAGGGCTATAGAACCACAGAGGAGCAAAAAAGGAGGTGCAAGAAGAAAATAAGTAGGTCAAAATGCAAAATACGTCGTATACACATATAAATACAAGGAATATGGGGATCAAGCAGGATGAACTGGAAGTTGTAGTCTATAGAAAAAACTGTGATTTAATTGATATTTCAACTCCCATGACTGGAATATCAGCAACAAGGGGTATACTCTGTTTTGGAAGTATGGGTTTGGGGAAAAAAGAAAGTTGTGTCAGGCTATATACAAATACATAAGTTTGTTCCTAGGATCAGGAGGAAGAAAGAAGCAAATCTGAGTGTATCTGGGTGAAGATAAAAGGGGAAAGGAAGTCAGGAAGGAAGAGGTAGATCAGATACTTTTCAAGGAGATAATAAGATTATCCAAAAATGTGACGTGGTACTAGTGGGGGATTGCAACAAAGCATAAAATGACCAGTAAGTTCCCAATATGTGTAGACCAGTGGTCTCCAAACTTTTTTCATCGTGCACCTGTATCAGTAAAAAATTTTTGAGCACGCACCCCCGATATATGTATTTTTATATTTGTGCACCCCATCAATAAAAAAAATTTTGGGCACGCATCCCCAATAGATGTATATTTATGTAAATATAAATAGAAGTTCTAATATTTTCTTCCCGCACCCCAATGGATCATCTTGCACACCCGACTTTGGAGACCACTGGTGTAGAGGACCATTTTTTGTTCCAGAAAGTGAGGATATGACTAGGGTATCATCCATCTTGGATCTCATTTTGGC